AGTATTTTATTTTAACTACAGATCCATTCTAACTGACAGCACACCACTTTCACTATTAATGAAAATTTCCAGTTCCAAATGACTATATTTTTTGAATTTATAATGAATGTTCTCATAGATGTCTTTAAGGTACAATATAATTTTAGGCCTTGCAAATATGCTGTATTTATTACAACTCAAAGTCTGATTGTAATTATGTACGTCTAGTGCAATACATTATGGCTTAATGCTAGAAACTGTCAATGAAAAAATTGGGTTGAATTATATAGTACACTTTAAAAACCTCATCACTGTTCACCCCACTGCAATATGTGTGTGCAGGATCTATAACTACAAATAAAGACCAAATACCTCATATTTTGAATTTCTTGTAACCATCACTTCCACAAGAACATTAACAGTTGAAATGAGAAAATTATATCCCCTTTCAGCTTGGAATTTTCTTGACCTATATATATGTCCACTGCGATAAGATGTGACATTAACTGACATTTATATGATATAACTCTGTCCTAAGTGCAAACTATATTTATAGGTCTTTCGTTTTGTTCTTCTTTACACACTACATGTTTCGGCCCCAAACGGCCATCATCAGGTGTATACACTCACGTATCTGTTACACTGCACTTATTTATAACATTTAAAATTTAAAAACATAGGTCTTCATGATTAGTACTTATAAAATCTTCGGTTCTAATTTTAAATCCTTTAAAAAGTTTTCTCTAAATTTTAAAATTTAAAAATGTCAGGGTTACTTGCCCTGTGTCTATAGTGCTGCAGTGGCTTCTTGTTTCTAGTACTGTATAGGTGTTATTCTGTGTAGTCTCCTTGTGTGCATGCCGCTGCTTATCTTTACTACGTGTGCTGTCTGATGTATTGTGTGCTGCTTTATAAGTGCTAATCAGGAAGACCTATGTTTTTAAATTTTAAATGTTATAAATAAGTGCAGTGTAAGAGATACATGAATGTATACACCTGATGATGGCCGTTTGGGGCCGAAACATGTAGTGTATAAAGAAGAACAAAACAAAAGACCTATAAATATAGTTTGCACTTAGGACAGAGTTATATCATATATCGTATAAAGTGCAACAGGATGCTTAAATATAATATTGTAAACTGACATTTAGTTTTAAATAACCTTAGATAACTATCATATACATGTTCTCATGGGAAACTGTTATTTATAAAATCTCCTTCATAGCAATTGTTAAGATGGCCTGCAAAAAGATATGTTAAGAATAAATATTGCATACAGGAAGCAGAAAATCCTGTCAGAAATTTATGAGCCTCCAATTTTTTAAAAAGTGAAGCAAATATACTAGAATTTCTATCAAGGTATATAAATTTGAAAAAAAAACATGGCTGCAAATTAGAATAAGTAGTATAGGTGTTTGAGAATTTTAAAGAGAGATTAAAATTGACAAGTAGTGTGCTAGTAACTGTACTGTATTACAAAATTACAGTTGACTCCGAGTGTACATAGTATATATGTTGATCAGAACCAGAGATATGAGGTGTATGTATAATGTCCCTGTTTAAAAGCACCATGCCATTAAGGCATATGAGAACCAATGAGGCAAACTCCATGAATTTAACTCAGTACCAATCTGGACAAGTGACTGGGCTGGTCTCAGAACTAATTTCAGTATTGTGTCACTTTGGCAACTTGAAACATGAGGTATGAATAATTAATTACTGAACAGTAAGTTTTGAGAAAAGTTTTAAAGAAAGTCTTGAAAAGTGAGGACCAAGGCAGTTCTGCAACATTGGGACTCAGGCAAAGGAAAAGTAATGAACTCACACAACTTGAGCCATGACATAATGAAAAACTGCTCTAAATGCTCAAGTGATGTGCACTATATCTAAGGCACTCAGGAGGAACCTCTTAGACTGTGCGATTAAGGTTACATCCAGTATTTACACTGGAATTTATTAAAAAGCTAAGCAACTAAAATTGTGCTTTATAACAGTTTGGTTTTCATTACACTCTTATAATCTTCCTTTTCTAGAACTAGCACGGATTTTAGAAGCTTACCTCAAAACTATACTGTTTTAAATTTTTAAACTTTTTACAGTGAATGTATGAGCTTTCTGAGGCACACAGCATCTTATGTTATAAAGAACAGTCTGTTTCGGAGAAACTCTGCTTCAATATTCAGTAAAGAAGTGCGAAGCTGGGTTCCACAGATAAATGGAATGGAAAATGGCACAAGCCCCCTCAGTGTGACTCAAGACTGAAAATGAGCTTGTTTATACTATTCATTTCTGAACATGTTTTATATTAACATACATCCATCCAAGCCATCTTTATTCACCTCTACGAAGAGACTGAAGTGGTTGGTGTTCTCAAATGTTTGATATTGTTACTTATGCCATACACTGCTATGCACCCCCCACAAATATGTTTTCAAATACTGTTCCAATTTTAAAAAGTGGTGACAGCTGTCTTCACCTCCAAGCTACAGAATCTGACTTCTGGCCAAATTAAATCATTGCGGTATCCTGAATAATTAGTCTACTTCTATGTACCACAGAAGGGCTCCTCATATGCCACAGTGAACTGCCTACACCTTATGTTGTAGGTCCCAAATTCTGGCCTTTGCTACAGGCAGTTAGTTCCTTTGGTAGTGATAACCTTTATTGGGAAACTGCACATCAGAACATACATTTCAAATATTGATATTTTTTTAAAGATATTCATTATAAAATTATTAAATAATTCACATTCATAGATCATGTTCCCTCTTGCCCTATGCAGCTTAGACCAATATAAATCTATCTCTCATGTGCCTTCTTCAATCATAATATTAACTTGCTATCCAATACTGTACCTCAATAATATTCACCTCCTTCACTCACGTACAAACTACTCACATATGTATCACATATGGCACTGAATCGTCCTGTCTCAATAATGAATTTTTTCTTGGGTACTGAAAGTAAACATACCATTTTCAGTACTGGAACCAAAACAAATATTATTATGTTAATGTTCAAAATGTATTACATCTGTTTCCTGATATTAACATTTAGTGTTACACTTTTAACCTTTAATGTATGAATGTTAGATATATCTAACAGGAAGTGACACTCCACTGTGGCCGAATGTTAGATTTATCTAACGCAGTACACGTCCTCTCTTTGGGAGCGCTGACAGTTTGATCTTTGGGTTGAAACCACAGCAAACCCATGCAAGGTCAAGTCAGTGGTTCATTCTTTAACTCTGAACAATGAAATCATTTATGATGGTACTGGTTCCGATACAATTTACGCTTAGATATGATTGTTTATGACTGGTCAGCCAAATAGGGCACAGCTTTGTTTTGAGAGCTGAGGAGTAAATATTCATCTGTGCAGATTAGTGCTTCCAGGGCTTTCAAGGATTTGTTTTCAGTAGCAAATTATCAGTCAGAAAGTCAGTGTCGGATTGTAAATTATTTATTTATAAAACATTTTTATTTTGTATCTCGGTAGAGGTATAAAGCCATTGAAGACAAGAATGCACATATGGGCTTTGTGGATAAATCTGACAGGATAGTTATGGAATTGCCCGGAGGACATGGAAAAAGAAATTGTTTTTCCACCTTATAGACATGACTATTCTCAATGCCTATTTATTACACAAGTCATGTGGTGGAAAAATGACACATAAAAATTCCATGAAATCATAGTGAGAAATTTGTACAGTCGCATGAGGCGAATTTCACGGTCAGTGGCGTTTCTGAGGGGAGGCCAAGTTCATCTGGGGCCAAACTGAGTCGACTAGAGGTGAAACATTCACAACACTGGTCATCCAATAGTAAACCAGGAGCACCCTCTTCTATTGTAAAAAGTGTGATGTTGGTCTGTGTGTCGAGCACTGCTTCGACCAGTGGTACACGCCCATCAGAGTGTGAGCACTGAACAGAGTTATCATAAACTGTGAAGTGACGCAGTTCTAACTTGCGTACAGTCTGAACAAAGGATTATTGTATATAGTGTGATTATTTTTTACAAAATCAACATGTCTGAAGTTTCGAGAAAAAACTATAGGTAAGTAAGCCCTTTGGAATATCATAATATATATAATAAAAATGATATTTTGCATTTCATGACAAAATAATCACAGTATATTTTCATTTCTAAAAACTGCTCCTTTGTGTATATGTAGAAAATTATATTGTTTTTCAGGCTGTTTTTAGTTCATATTTCTATATTGCATAAAACAGTAAAACTTGGTTATAGCAACATCAGTTTCTGCGACACCTTGTCTATTGCATCAAATATTCAATGGTACGAACTAATTCCTCATAAAGCAACTGTTTTTATACTTTGCTTAGTACGACATGCACAAATGCATCAACCTCGTATGTAACATCATTTTCATTCCTGAATTTCTCTGATATGTACATTGAACGTAATTTAGAAAGTGTATGTTGGGCAAGTAACAGGAAACAGATGAAGATAACTGATTACTGTACTCGTATCTAGGTACAGGCACAACAATTGATGTAATCTACTGTAATTTGGTGTGTAGGCCTACCTTTAATTTACAGTATTAGTGCGGTGTGTATTGTCAGTGAAAAGTGCTGTAATATGTCTTTGATATTACACATTTGGGCAATTCCACGTTAATGTTAAGTTAGTCTGTACTTAACTACGTATTTCACTAAAAAAATGCAAAATTTTAACTCTGTTTTTGGTAGATTTTTACATGACTAACATAAGGCTACTGTGGAAGTGCCCATTTCGGTTACAAAGACATTCGTTTATAACGACACTATTTTTAGGTCCCTTTGATGACGTTATAACCAAGTTCTACTGCATGTAGTTTTTTCTGAAAGTCTGCAACTTTGAAGACTTAGGGCCATTTAAATTCTGGCTGCAGCAGGCTCTCGACAATTTAAAAGTCTGTACTTTAAAGGTTAAAGAGCTTCTATAAAAGCATGGCATATGAAACATACTGTTAGACTATGGACTTGTTAAACAGCCAGTACATTTCAGCTGTATTTCTGAAGTTCTCTTTTATGCAAGTCGCCCTTACAGACTGGAGTCAGGGAAATAACACTGAAAGAGCTCTTCCAGAGAAATGCTTAATTTAGCAATGTAACTGGAAGTTAAAATTCAGAGGCTTGGAAAGTGTAACAGCTATTACATTAATGCCGCTAGGAATTTCATAAATATGACAAAAACAATTATGGGATTTTTTTACACATAAAGCAAATCTAAACCAACTATATACATATATAAGTACACACACTGCACTATATTACATTTATAAAAATCTGTAAAAAATAATTTTGTAACATTTGATAACATGGGGGGGGAACAGAGTGCAACCTAAATATGTAGTGAATGTGATGCATGTGGGAAGTCTCTACATCCAACGACACCAGATTGTGTCACTTCAGAAATTATGAGTAACCTGACATCATAGCAGATAAAGTGGATATTGTCTTGCAGTAGGCCACATGCAAGACCACACCAGATTAATTTCACATCTGCAGAATTAGGGTTCTGAACACATTAAGACCTTTTTTCTAAATATTACTACAAATCATATTATAAGCTGCAAAGAAATGCAAGACATAAATATGTCAAATTTATCAGAGTGAGACTGAATATGCAGTTTCTTTTATTTCAAATCCTTCTGCAATAAAAGCATACCACATGTTAAAATGAAAAGACTTACTAGTACGATGCGAAGTTATAATGTTTTAATTATCACCATGACAAAATCATAATTCCAAAATATCATTCTATATAGGAGACAGCCCATTTCCTCAGCTTGCTGAACAGTCTAATTTTCCCATGCCAAGTGGACAGAGGGAGCCACCGGAAGGGGCAGAAACAAAATGGCAATGTAGGTTGAGGAAGTGGAGGCTCGTGCTGTGATATGGTTCCTGCCTTTGCAAGGGAAGTCTGCCAGGGGGATCATGACCAGATGACTGCTGTGTATCAGGAAGGTGTACCATCATATGACAGTGGTCAGGTGGAAGAGGCATATTGAATCACAATAAAAGATGGCTCAAAATGAAAGAGACACAGCCTTCTCAATAAATGAAACAAACTGGAAAAGGTGCAAGTGCTGCATCACTCAACTGTACACATCCCCATAGCCACATTAAAATTACCAATATAATATCACCATCTCAGACCCTGTAATCCTGTTACTGTGAATGATGACCAGTAAATTGCTACAGCTGATGACTTCAGTATGGACCAAGAGAGCTAGTTTGCATAATCTGAAGAAGGACCAACATAACATGCCTAAGCAGCAAGGATATAGGGAGATTTAAAGAACACAATTCTTTCCTAGTTCCTCACTGGCATATCCTGTTCTTCATTCATATAAGCAGGGTTTTACTGTCCACTAAGTTCATTTCAGTCAAGTTCATATGCTATTCTGAATTACCACTACATTGTACACATCAGATGTTGGATAGTATGATCCTTCAATCATCAGTGTAGTGATTATTACATACTGGAGTCTACACAGCACCAGATTGCGGCTGCTACTGGCCTATACACTGATCAATATCTCAGTTCAGTTGTGTGAGCATGATCTGTGCACCATGTTTAAGACCATGTGGCAGGCCTACTGGGCAATCACGGGCTGTGCATTGCCCTCTTCTCCTTCACCCTCCTCACGTGGCCGTGTCCACTTGATAAGTGTCTCTGGTGAGCGATACAGGAATACCAGCTTGGCAAACAGATCTTCCTCTAGGTCCAGCTCTCCGCTCTCACGCACCAAGTAGATGTCCAGACACAGCTACAAGAATTGCAACAAACAGTGTCAGTTTAACAAAATACTTGTATCAGCAGGGCAGCCATTTATATTCTGAAATACCTGAACATGTGAGGTGAGGGCAGGAGAAAAAGGTTCTGGAACTCTCTCATATATCTTACCAAGGTTCATGGCACTTGACTTTGTTCCACTATTTTCTATGTTACCTTAACACCAATATATTGAGATTGTATGTTTCAGCCTGTGCATGCACACAAACTACCTAACTCCATGGAGCAGAGCCCTTCTTGAGAAGTTAACAGTTGATCAGTTATTGGAGAAATTCCCTACTCTGTTCAAAAGATACCACAGTCCATGCTCCAAGCCAGGTGAATCCAGTCACACTATCCCACAATATTCTTTTAGCCCATTCACTTCTGACTTAAATGCCCCCTCAGTTATTACATAAATCAGATTTCAGTACCTGTAATATGAAATAAGATGGTACTCATATTACAACATTCATGATTCAGATTACACCAATGTAGGCAGCAAAGTTTTGAGGCCACATACCTCTGCTCTTCATAAATTTTCCTCTTTAGACATTATCAGCTAGTAAATCAAATACAAATGGCTATATGGACTATTACACATAGTGACCAGATTTTAAAGCCACACAACCCATGATAAGACTTTTTCAGAAGAAATGAATGGGTTAAAAATTCATTTCATATATCCTCTTATCTACACCTAGGTCTTCCCAGTGGTCTCTTCCTTTCTGAATTCTGACCAAAAATTGTATGCATTTATTACCTTCCCTATGTATACAACATGCCCACCCAACTCATCCCTCTTTGAGGTATGTGCACGTGTGACACACACACACCATTTTAAGAATGGTAAGAATAATTACAATTCAGAAATTTCTTTATATTCCATATGTTTGATAATATACCTTTAACTTCTAATGCACATAATTTCTGTTATAAAAGTACTTCCTTTTAACATTCAAACACCTAGCAGATGTATGTGTCAAAACATGTCACCACTCAAATATCACAGTTCATGTCAATATGATTCATGAGTCATCACTGCCACACAAATTTATCTTCTGTGGTCACCTTGTTACTTACCACTTTCTTAACCCCCTCCCCAAATCCATAATAAAGTTTGGATTCTTGTTTAACATCAATGTAAGCAAGGCCATCATGATAAGAATAAGAAGTTACAAGTACAAATATACAGGGATTTTTCCAGTATCATGGTATTCACACTATTTTTCCTAACAACTGGTCAAATGGCAACTCTGACACCCATGTCTGTAACAGAATTCAGAGGTAAAACAGGCCACACTCATGTTGCTCAATGATAGGGTTATGAAAAAGGAAATGTCTGCCTCTAAACCATAAAATCTATTATATCTATAATCTTGCATTAAATACTATAAAATATTTTATCTTGTCTACCTGATAACAACGTATAACTTCAAAATATGCTATACAACAAAGAATTTTAATTAAAAATTGATCATACCAAGAATAAACTTCATCAAATTTGAAGCAACCAAAAAAAGAGTTGAATTTATTCTTAAAGCACTCCGATTAGTGGTAAAACAGTAGGAAATTTCACACTACATTATTCATATGAAATAAAGCTATGCATTAAAACAGACTAAAAGAAGGCCAATTATATGAGGGTTGTAAATTTGGCAATGAATTTTTGATCACCTAATGGATAAAGTAATAGAAAATTTCATTCCGAATATTTGAATATACAATAATTTCAGAGGAATTTGAAAATTTTGAGCTACATGATAACTAGTAATGCAAGCATTTCAATTTTAATCTCTAATATTAGTTAGGTTTGGACAGAAGCCAGGTAGAAAGTGGTGTTAGCTAAAAGAAGTTCAAGCACTGTAACTGAAGATTGAAAATAATATCACCGGGGAATACTTTGAAGAAGAGTATAAAAAATGGCAAGTTATGAAGTGATTTAACAATAAGTATAAGTGATGTTTCAATCATACACGGTGTGTCCAGGATCTGTTAGGACTCATTTTTTTTAATTTTGTCCTTCAATGCCATCTGTTGGCGAGTTGTGGCATTAAGATTCTTGAAGCTTCAGCTGTGGTTGTCTATAATTTCAAAGCGCAAGCATCGATGCATCATGTGTTCTGACCTTGAATATAACAGTACTATTTTGACGCTCATCAGAAAATGACTGTTGAACAGAGAGTCAACATCAAATTTTGTTTGAAGTTAGGCAAAACAGCCAGAGACATGTACGAAATGATGAAAAGTGTGTATGGTAGAGATTGTTTGAGTCACTCAAACATTTTTCGATGGTTGCTGTATTTCATGAAGGCAGGGAGGACATTGAAGATACTCCATGTGCATCAAAGCCGAGAACAAGTCGCAGTGAAGAAAATGTGAAAAAAGTGACCGAAATCCTTGCATCAGACAGATGTGTTTCTGCAAGACTCATCGAGGAGCTATTGGGAATACGAAAAAGTACTGTGCATCAAATTCTGACAGAGGATTTGGGCAAATGGAAGATCTGTGCGCGGTCTGTACCACATGCGCTGTCAGGTGATGAAAAATATGCCAGAGTGGAACACTGCAAAGCTATGTTATGGTCGGTCCAAAGTGATACAAAATTTACAAAATCGATTGTTACTGGAGACGAGACATGGTGTTTTCAATATGAGCCTCTCACAAAGCGGCAGAGTGCAGCATGGTTAAGCCCAAATAAGCCGAAACCAATGAACGTCCACATACAAAAGAGTCAAGTAAAGACACTGCTAACCCTTTTCTTTGATTCCAAAGAAATCATTCACAAGGAATTTCTGCCAGAAGGTCAAACAGTGAATTCTGATTATTATCTCGGAGTCCTCAATCGTTTATGGGCGAGAATTCTTTGAACTGACCTGAATATCGAGAGCAAGGTTCCTGGTCACTCCTCCACGACAATGCCCCACTCCACAAATCGAAGATCACGTGCCAGAAAAGGATCACAGTCCTTGATAATCCTCTGTATTTGCCAGATTTGGCTTCAGCAGATTTTTGGTTGTTTCCAAAAGTTAAGTTGGCGATGAAAGGAGAACATCATGACACCATCCAACACATCCAAAGGGAATCTATTGCAGTTTTAAATGAGATTCCAAAAAAGGAGTATAGTGACTGTTTTCGAAAACTCTTCAGTTGATTCCAGCTATGTATTGATTCAGAAGAAGACTATTTTGAATAAAAAGAGTGAAATTCTGAAAATAATTCACGCCTTGTATGTTTAATGAACACAGTCCTAACAGCACCTGAACACACTGCGTATGAACAAGTGAAGGTAGACAGGATGCAAAAAATTGTAACAGAAATGAAACAACAGGAGAGCAATCTGTGGGAAGACCTAGACAAGGCATAGGCAGAAGTGATGGACCTGAGACTATGGGGCGATACAAATGGGGAAGATTTTTATTCACACTGATCTCATAAGGTCACATTAATTAAGCAGACCTGAGTGATTCCTAGGTTTCTCAATGACACTACTTCGACTGTCGACGTTATGAGGGTAGGTCCATGGCTGACCTCAACTTTAATTTCTTTTCAGAAGATGTGGGCAACAGAAGAACAAATTTGTTGTTGTGGAAGGTGGTTGAAACACTGGTCTCACTTTCTCACATGTAAACATGTCCCCCACATATTTACATTTAAAGACAGTACAAGATGGTGTCAGACCTTGTCACTCCTGAGTGCTGAACAGTACTGTGTCACCAAATTTCCAGTGAAAGAGTAAGTGACACTGGCTGAAATTCTACACATGCTAAGTGCAGTGTATGCAGAAAGAACTATTATCATGTACCAGTCTGTATGAATGGTGCACCAAGTTTTCTGAAGACAGTGAAGAAGTTGCTAACTGACCACATGCTCATATTCGGCAGACAGCTGCCACAGATAGAAAATTTGTCATGTTGAAAAGCTGATTTTGGAGAGAGAGAAGAGAGAGAGAAAATGTGAATTACAGTGTGTAATACTGTATCCAAAACGTACAATTTGCTTCATAATACTGTTCACTTAGAGATTTGCAAGAGAAAGACTGAGACACTGTTACAGCAGACCATTGTACAGCATGATAACACATGTCTGCATATGGTAAATTTAACACTGGCAACCCTGGGATAGGACATCATGAATTACCATCCTTACAGTCCAGACTTAGCCCCTCGTGATTTTCACTGGTTTGGATCACCCAAGGATCATAAAAAATGGCATAAATTTGACACAAGCACAGTGTCCTCACCTGGCTAAACAGTTTGGCTATATCTTTCTATGCTGCTGGTATATGTGCCTTGTGATGATGACAGAAAAAATGTTTCAGTCCACAACAATATTTAGAAAAGTGGTGGTTTGGTAATTCTGACATTCATATTTTTGTAAAAAGTCTAGGTCAACCTTAAAGCACCCTCATACTTGTATATAGCACAGAAAGAATTAGGAAACTGATCATGAATGGGGAACAGGAAAGCATATGGAAGGAAGTGATTGTAACTCTGTTTGAAGTATATATTGAGTTGAACCTGGAAAGCATGAGGAATGCCACATAAAATCTGTCAGTCTGTAACCTCACTAAGATTTTACCCGTATATCTCCTGAAAACAAGTTGGATGTGTAGCTACTATACCAATCTGTGTGGAAATAAATAAATTTCACTTGTTTGTCATCAATTCCACACTAGTTTCATGATATGTTCTAAGATGCTAACTTCCTAGTTAATAATGATAATATAAAAGGCAGAAGAAGCAAAAGTCTTCTTATGATTCAGTATATACATTTTCATGGTTACATTATCTTCTGGTTGAATTGTACAAAACTTTGCAGTATCCTGTGATTTCTCATCTATTTGTTCATGCCAATCTAATTACATTTAATCTAATAGCACTATTTATCACAAATACTGCAAAATTTATTAATGAATTATAAAAAGATTTATTTCATAAATAGCCTGCATTGCCTAGTTTCATTTTGAAATATCTATGGCACTGCATCAACCAG